CTGTCCAGCTGGGGCTGGTCCCCACCAGCAGACCTCCATCTCCCATCAGCAGTGGTAGCAGCAGCACAGACCCGGCATGGGTGAGCCGAGGTCCTCCTGCTCTCCTCCTGAGGTGGCAAGGGTGGCTCTGCTCTCTGCACATCGCTCCTTCCTCCTGGTTGTTCTTCTCTGTCTCTCTGGCGTGCAGCAAAGCCATGGAAGGAGGCATTTCTTCATGAAAAGGGTTGTTAGGCACTGGGATGAGCTGCCCAGGGAGGTGGTGGAGTCACCATCTCTGGAGGTCTTTAAGAAAAGACTGGATGTGGCACTTAGTGCCATGGTCTGGTTGACATGGTGGTGTTAGGGCAAAGGTTGGACTCGATGATCCCAGAGGTCTCTTCCAACCAAATCGATTCTGTGATTCTGTGGGTCACAGCTCACCACATAGCCATCTTCCCAAGAGGTTCTTCTCAACAGATGTGCTTCTCCAGATGTGCTCTGCTCTGCCCTTGCAGAGGTGTACATGTACCATTTCACTGTTGCGGATGATATGACCGGACAGGATTGCAGGGCTCATGAAAACTGGCACATTTCTGAATGCAATTCTTCTGTTGTCTGCGATTTGACATCTTCAGTTTTCCACCTTTTGATTCACTGAGCTGTGACATCGCCTTGTTCTTTGGGAAGAAGTCTCTCTTTCAACGCTAGATCAAAAGGAACCGGCTGGGGTGAAACGTTCATTGTGCCGGCTCTGGGCCTATACGTGCTGTATCAATTTTTCAGCTCTTCTTTAAGGTTTTTTTTCTTTTTTTTCCCCCTTCCGTTAAGCTTTCCTTTCCTTTTTTTCCTTTGAGAGTCAAGATGTGCATTCAGACGTCATCAACTGCATCTTTTTTGAGGGATATTTATGCATTAGTCTACAGTTACTCAGCATTGGTAGATAAGTAATCTTGGGTTTTGAACGATCTAAAGAAACAGGTTTTCCAACCCTGAAGATCAGCCATTGAGATGACCGCAAATTGCTTTTATCCGAATATTGTTTTTAACAGTCACCGCTTCCTTTTTGTGTTAGAAGATGATGGTGCTAGTATTTTTCATGTGGTCCAGTCACTTGTTTCCTATCAACTTCAGGCTTGTTGGATCATGTCCAGTGCTCAGCCATGGCCAAATACCAGCAGCTGTGACCCAACCAGCCGGCAGGTGTAATGCCATAGGGACCGAGGGCAGCAAGGGAAGGAGAATAAGGCGAGCAGCACTGGGGGGGCTGAGCAAGGGCTTTACTTCACCTGACGCCGTGACTGCTTCCGTGGGGTTTGCAGGCTGTCAGAAACTGCTTTCATGGTATTCCCTCACATCTGCTGTTTGAAAATCAAAGGACAGTAAATTCCACTTACAGTCAGTATCACTCTCTCTCTTCCCTTTTCCCTCTGTGATGTTCAGGCTAACGGGAGCACAAGGAGGTGTTAATGCCCTCAGCCTTTCCCTTCCTCTTCCTAGGAGCTGAATTTTCTTCTGAAGTTACCGAAATGGGAGCCTAATGTTTCTGAAATGACAAACACAGAAAGTGAGAACTAACTCCTCTTGGGTGATGAAGGGACTGAGAGCAGCCCTGAGCAGAAGGTCTTGGGGGTGCTGGTTGATGAAAGATTGGGCGTGAGCTGGCAATGTGCACTCGCAGCCCAGAAAGCCAACCGTACCCTGAGTGGCATCCCAAGCAGTGTGACCAGCAGGTCGAGGGAGGGGATTGTGCCCCTCTGCTCCGCTCTGGTGAGACCCCCCTGCAGTACTGCCTTCAGCTCTGGGGTCCTCAGCACAGGAAGGA